CATCTGGCCCAGGATTTGTCATGTTGTGAAGGATTTCATAATTTCCAATCTGCTTAAGCATGGGCAGGCACAGAGTTAATCCACTGGAAAACAGGCTGTATTACAAATTGTGTTTGCTGTTCAGGAGTGTTGCCCACTGAGTGAATTACTGGTAGGAGTCACTGGAGCCTCTTTGCTATTGACCTATACTGTCTCCCTATTTGACTCTTAATTTGTGAATACTTCTATTAATTTTTTTAAATTAAGCCATATTTTGTTTGTAAATGGCCAAGAAGAATTTTCAGTTATGTAAGTCAGGGCATGTAACTTGGTCCTCTTGTCATAACAGGCTTTCAAGGTTGGCCATGTAATAGGAGTATAATTCTGACTCATTATGCAGAAAACATTAGTAATTTCATAATGTTGGGGTTTTTCAGCAGGTATATTTAGCTTTGTCATACTATAACATTTAGTTTCCCTGCATATGCGAACAACGATGAGGTGATTGCTAACCCCATCTTTTTTAAAGAATGTTAAGATGTATACTTAGGTGTATTTTTATCAGTATTTTTAACTGGAAGGTGGTTGGGACTTGTAGCAAACTGTTTTCTCTGAAAAATACACAAATCTTCTGAACTTTTTAATCTTCTAGAATCTTTTAAAATATAAGTTCTTAAAAAATACATAATAGGGTGTAACTAACCATATTGTCACAGTTTATATATAGAGAAACAGCTTTATGTATTTCATATGGGCATGACTTTAAAAACTTTTATTGTTGAGCCAGCCAGTACATACAGTTTCTGTCTGCTTTCTTGGCAGACATTGAGCTTCAATTGCCTTTTTTCCCTTGCAGTTACAGTTTAATGTAGTGTTTAAATAAATAAACCCCCCCAAAAACCAAAACAGAACCAACAAAAAACAAAACTGAAAGACAACTCATCCCAAGGCCCCCAGCCCCTTCCTAGTTTATCTTTAAATTGCCCTGAGGATGCTTGTCCCTTCAATGCAGTTGCAAGTAGAACACAGAGAACCCTTTATTCCCTACTGTGATCTTAAGATTTGTCTATTTTTGACACTACTTGTGGTGAGAAGAGTTAGTTCATTTTACCTGTGATTAGTATTTCCCTAGAATAGAGATTGCCTTGCTGCAGTGATTTTTGGGTGTTTAGACAGTCCTTTAAGTGATGCTGGATTTGTCCTTGTGGTGAACTGGAATGAGCTTTTGCCTTCTGAGACAGGCTGATTTTGAGCTGCAGCACATTTCTAGCTGGTGCATTTCTGTCATCTATTTTTCTTGATTAAGATACGAATGTGTTTCAGCAACGTTTATGTAGTACAACTGAAAAAAACAATTATTGATTCTTTTAATAGGAAAAGGATCATGAGCTCCTTGCTCATTAGCTGTTGTTTGTTTTTTTTTCCTTTTTTTTGTACTTAGACAAATCTTTTATTTTAAGGAAACTTTCTTTTTAATTTTGACATCTGCTTCTTATCCTGACGAAAATTGCAAAAATGCCAGACTTCGCTTGTATCTTATTGAAATTTATTTTCACCTTTATTTGAGAAGTGTTTCAGTACAGTTGCCACTGTTCGGACAAGAAGGACACTTCCCATCACTGAAACGAGCTGCCTTTATATCAGTTCCTAGGAAAGCATTGTGCAGATGGCCTTAAGTTTGGCCTCTTTTTTCTTACAGATCATTATTTGTTGTATCAATTGTTTATGCCATGTGTTTATCTGGGTGTAATTTTTGAAAGAGCTGCTGTTGTGCAGCAGTGCAGGGCACAGTGTGCCCATTCATGGGGCAAATTGCTTCTGTCAGTCAGCTGGTGAAAGAGCTCCTCCTGTTCTTCAGCTGCTGGCCTGGTGGCAGAGCGCACTCCATGCCCAGGGTAGTTCTGATCCCACGTACTGGGATATTTTCTGTAATGTTGGTCATGTTAACTGCAGTGTTGCTGATTCTCAGTCCTCCAGGCATGCAGAGCAGAGCCTCTCACCCAGGAGAATAGCTCAAAATAGGATTTAAAGGGAAGATGGGGCAGATGGTGCTGATGGGCTACAGAACATTACCATCATCAGTTTTAAAGAACTGGAACCTTGTATTTCCTTATCCATCTATTTTCCTATGCCTGTCCTTCCCAAACCACATTGATTCCTCCCTTTCCCTAAAAATTTCATAGCAACTCTTAGCATCCCAAGTTGCTCTTCCTTGCACCCTGTAGTAGGTGTTCAAGCTCCATATGCAGTAGCAGCCCTCAGTCTGTGAGGTGCTCTGAAGAACCTTTCCATTTACCCACCATGATGTGTCTCTGGCCATGGGCCTTATGGCTTTCCTGGGACAGCTGGTATTTGGGTTCATCCTCTGTGTGCCTTTGCATGTGGAGATGGGTCCCTACCACATCACCTAAAAATCTGTCACCTTGTTAAGCATTCTGAATGTAAGAATTTTTTCCATGCCTCATGGAGGAAAATAGGAGACATGTACCTTGAGTGCTTTTTGTTGACTTGTGTACCCTGTGTTGTCTCAGCAATCCAAGTTAAAGCATTGCAAGAATGTTTGTGCCAACACTTCACCTCCCCTCTCCTTCTGTGGGGAAAGAGAACATTTTGGTGAAATGTTGTCAAACTGTAAGTATTACAAGAGCAGGATTCCCTACTGAGCAATGTTTCCTAAAAACTGAATATTGTAATATCTCTTGAAATTGCTTTCATTAAGTCACTGTGCTTCATGATAGGTCTTTAACTTTTTCTTGATTTCTTTAAAGTCTAAAACTTGTTGGGCAGTCCTCAATCTATTTTAATATTCAACATTTTTATTAAATGTTTACCAGTGTTGCTTTTCAAAACAGTGCCTGCATCTTTAATATAAAAATATATTAAGCATGGCTGTCTAAATCAAACCAAAGCCTTAGCTTGCCTATAACTGGCTAAATAAACATGGACATTTCTTTTTTTTCCTCCCCAGAATTAGCTAGTGAGATGTTTGGTTCAAACATGTAGCTTGCTGTTGTCAAAGTTTTCAGCAGGTGCAAAAATGAAGTGCAGCAAATGTTGCTGTAAAACCCAAGTCTTTCTTCAACTTCAGCAGATGTAGAGTGGGAAGAGTCAAGTAAATGAGAAATCAGTGTGATGAAATTAAATTTATGCCACATTTCGAATTTGACATCATTAGTTTAGGACTGAAGGGAAAACAAATGAAAACAGCAATCATGGAATGAAAACTGCTGCCCCCAAGTGTGTTCTACTCCAAAGGTTCTTGAGTTATCTTAGTAAAAGATTTGTTTGTGTAAAGGAGGGACTTTGAAGTCTTCCGTTTCTTTTCCCCTCTATCATCTTCTACCCTTGCCCACTTGTTTTCATAAATAACAGAGATGTTCATACCACAGAACATTAACTTCTACTATTTTTTTTCTTAAATTTGCTTTTTTCTGCATGTTAATGATATTGAAACGTGGTTTATGTTTATAAGGAGCTGCATAAGCACCACTTTTTCAGTTCTGTTTGCCTAATTTATAGAAAAAGCCCAATTTGGGTTAATAAATGCAGGAAACGAGATCAGTTATAAGTTAACAGTCTAAGGAAAATGCGATAATGACCTTGGGGCTGGCTTTTTTTTGCTGGCCTTTCACAGTTATTTTGTATGTATTAAATATTGTGGCTATATGACACGTGCAACTCAATACGAAGTTTGAATTAGCAAGTAGTTTAATATTTACTAAATCACAATTTGTGATTATCTGCTGATAATAGGTAGGAAGTCTACACATCACAGCTTGCCCAAGCTAGACCTGTAAGCCTGTGGGAAAATCTTTAAAGGATTGTGTCAAAGATGTAACACTGAAGCTTAAAAATAGACATTTGCTCCTCAAAAGGAATTTGCTGCTCTTCCAATTTTGTTAGTCACTGAGTCATGCACTTATCCACAAGTACAGTGACTTCATCTTTACTGGATAGAGTTGAAGCTGTTCAGATAATTTGCATTAATTTCACCTTCATCATATGCAAAAGTATGTGAATGCATACACCTGTATTCGTGCATGTACACTTTCTTTAAAGAAACCAAATTATTGCTCAGAATACAGTATGTTTACGATTAAAATAGGTGAAAATACTGTACATAGGGAGATGTGCTTAGCTGTACTTTTAAATTAATGTGTAAATGCCAGGAATGAGGCAGTTAAGTGTGAAATAGCTCTGCACTCTAAACAAATTATAATATTTTTAAAAGCTTAACAGATAAGCCTTTTATTTCTTAAAAGTCTTGTCCAACCTAAACGTTTTTATGATTGTATTTGTGTAGATATGTTGCTTGGGGACATGGTTTAGCAGTGGATTTAGTAGAGTTAGGTTAATGGTTGGACTTGATGATCTGAAAGGTATATTCCAACCTAAAATGATTCTGTGGTTCAAACTTTTTTTGGCTGTATCTCTGTTTGCACATGTAACTCACAGTGATCTGTGTAAATAGGTTTGCAGTTTACTGTAAGTTGTTTTTTTTGTGATGACTTAAAAATTATTAAATTAGCTCTCTGGGTAAGCTATCTAGGTTGTCAGCCAAATAATTTTGATGTGGGTTTTTAAAATTTTTGATTTTGTGCCTGAAACAAGTAAATTGCGCTCTAAAAGCAGATCTTAATTTCCCAAAATTCCATACAGTACACTTACTCTGTGATGTTTTAAACTTCTCGTCAGCCTGAAACAAATATGAGGTATAGGTTTGGTACGCTTATTCCACAGCTTGGACTGTGAGAAGAAAAATAAGTAAATAAATAATATTTCCTCAGAGAATCTATAAAAGCTTTATCTGTGTTTTTAAAATTGTTGATCAGGTTTTAGATCTGACTGATGAAATTATGATCCTGTAATGCCTTATTTTTTTATGTAGAACTTCATGGTAGTGGTAGCTTTTTTCAGATTATCCCCAAGTCTGTCTGATTCAAACAATCTCTGTGTGGAAGTAATTCTCTAGAGCTGTACATTGAAAAACTTGATGTTTTGGTTTTCTTGTGTGCTTTTAGGTGAGTTGTGTAACCTCATAACGCTGGATGTAGCGCACAATCAGCTTGAACATCTTCCAGAAGAGATTGGAAGCTGCACGCAGATCACCAACCTTGACTTGCAGCACAATGAGCTCTTGGACCTGCCAGAAACCATAGGTATGTGAAGAGGCTGGAGAAGAGAAATTAAATAGCTGTTTTAAAATGTACAGTAAGAGGAAAGAATTTAAGAATGAGCATTTGGTTGGTGACTGGTGGTCAGCTCAAGGCATCTTCATGCTTGAGATCAAAAGCAAGGTGTGCATGTTGCCTTAAATGTAGTTTCTCACTTTCTGAATTACATTATTAAATCTAGCTGTGCTAGAGAGTGAAGCATTGTCTAAGAACGAGAGTTATAAGGAAAAAAAATCCATTATTTCTAACACAAATTTAAGGTGTTCTGTTGTTATAAATAAGTATGTACAGCTTGTCCATTCACTCTGTAATGAAACTGAGCATATAAAGGAATAAAAAGCCAAAGGAGTCTTGATTGAAGTGTAATACTTTGACAGTCTTAACTAGTGTCCTTGACTAAATAAGAATAGAACTAAAAATATAAATGTTTTAAATTAATTCTATATATTTTACACTTTTCCATAGAACCACTAAAAAAACCTTCCAAGTCCATGAAGTCCATGTTCTAATGCTGTAATATATAGAGAATTTGTTACTTAGATGGGAAATAAACCTGAATAAACACTGTTCTGGTTGGTTTCAGAGTCTCCTATAGGATGAAACAACAGAATATCACTTTACCTAGTTAATTAAAACACTTTAAATGCACGACAGAGAAAGATGAATGCTGTGGTTTAAAAAGACAAAAACCAAGGCCTTAATTTTAAGCTCTTATTTATCACCAGAACGTACTCAGCATAATGAACTTTATCACTTGAACAGTATTTATATTGAACATTTTATTAATATAATTTAATACATACTAAAGTGAATGAGCAGAAGAGTGAGGAAAAACTTAACAACACTTCAGCTTCTCTTCTAGCAGTAAATTGTTGAGTGTGGAGCTACTGTGGCTTTTTGTTTAGAAAGTCTGACCTGAACAGAGGTTTACATTGATGAAGTATCCATTGGAACTAAACTTTCTTCCAGGATTGATGATATTTTTAAACTCTGCAGATCCTATTCCAGCTGGAATTTGCATCTAACTTGCACAATTCATAAACACAGCCTTTATTTTTGCAGTTACTTTGTAAATCTTATTGAAAGTTATTTTAAATAAAATTGGTGTAGTGTATGTGACATGTTTAGGAAGCGAGTTCTCTGGATAAACTGCTAATTTGGGGAAAAATCTCTAAACAAGTGTGAGATTTCCATTGCTAGGTCTTACAGATCACTATTGTTGATTCTTGTGCAGAATAGTAGTACAACGTACTGAGTTGTTTAGTGACTGACAGTCACTGAGCTGCTCAGAGGACCACAAAAATCTTATTTATCATATGCTGCAAGACTGTGCTTACAGTGAAAGGTCTTTGAGTAGGAGGGGCAGGCAGTCACTTAGGCAGTTGTGTAATTTGTGATAGACAGGAAATTGCTGACTGTGCAGTTGAGGTAGTTTGAACTCACCTGTTTCTTCAGAAAGTTATTATAAGCTTAGGTGGTTTGTTCTCAGTCAGGTTCATGCCTTGTTGGACTGAATTTCTGCCTATTTTGTGTGATATCTTTTTCCATTGAATTGTCTTTTTTTTTTTTTTAAGTTACCTATTTTTAAATGTATATAGCTGCCTCTTACAAGCATCTGAGCTACATAGCAATGCCATATACCTCAACAATCTACCAAAGACAGATGAACGATGCTGGGAGACAGCAGTGTGCCAACATGCCTTTAACTTTCCGCTGATTCAGTTTTTGCTCCACTGGAAAACACCTGTTTGTGTTGACTAGTGTGTAGTAGCTGAGTATTTCTGTTTAGAACAAAAACTTAAAATCAGAAATCAGTATTTGTGCCACATATAGTTCACAAACAGCCACACTTGAAGGGAAAAATTTTAAGCTCCAGCTGAAACGATAATGATCAACCTACATTTATGCAAGTTACAGAAAAGGCATCCGTAGCCAGTTCAGCAACATTGGCTTTATTTCTTAGTCATCGCAGGTTTTGTTCAACATTAAAGCAAGTTGTGGCTTGATTTTTAGATTACAGCTTGCTCTGTGGTTAGGATTGTTCAGCAAGAGACTCCGAGTACAGGGAGAAACCCGGGAGTAAAGGGTGCATGGCCTCCTGAGGGCGGCTCCTGGGCAGCCTTTCCAGCCCCTCCATTTCTTGCTCCTGTTTCTGTCTCTTCCCTACCCAGCTACCTGGGTTTTGGCACAACAGCCTTTTCTTGCTACATGCTGCCAGGTTTCAGTACACTTAATATGTAAGTGCTGTTAATGTTGCCCCAGTTCAGTCAAACTGGAGTGGGGGTCAGAGGCCAAGGTACAAAAAAACCCAAGCACTTTTGCTTGTTAGAAATATTTAACATTATTATGAGCCTCCTGTTATGGCACATACGCTCCATCACTGCCAGGTCTGTCCCCTCCTCTTCCCCACCAACACCCTGTTGATGGACGCCTGCTTTTTTTTCTCAAGAGGAATGTTTTGTCAAGCTGCTTTGACAAACAAACAGCTCTCTTCCTTTTCTGTTTCTCCCTCTCAAAAAGCGAACCATTCCTCCTTCCCCTACCCAAAATCTTTTCAAAATACTACTTAAATTGACCATTGGACTATCTAACCAAGGTTTGGTTTTGCCACAGAAAGATTTCTGGACCTGCCAATAAAAAGGGGCTTGTTTTTTAACTCGGCACTGGACTAAAACACACTGAAGCTGTAAGGAAGGGGTATTGGACATGCAGGGGAGCGGCAGGGAAGGGATTATGCATCAGCAATGATTACAGAGATGGCAGAGCCAATCTACCCACTCTGTAAAAATACAAAGTTCTTGTTTCAACCAGCGTTTAATAAGCATACTTTCATGCAGTAACAAATGTCGATTTTAGATATTAGCTGTCAGGAAGTGACCTAATGTCTTGCTTTATAGTTATTGGCTTAATACATTCATATCTGTATTTCTGTTGATTGAAAATTGTAAAGTACTTGGTATATTAGCTCACTTCCTGGAAGAAAAATGAGCTTTGTGGAACAGCTTAGCACATTCCAAGAGTCTCAAGTCTAGAATCAAAATCATAGTGGGATCTTAGCTGCTTAGTGCTTTACTTGCAGCTTTTCCTCCACCCCCATGTTTGTTGTGAGTTTTGTGTTTTGTTGGGATGTGGAATTATGGTCTACTTTTATTTACACAGTGTCTTATCTTTGTATACTCAGCTGGCACACTAAAATATCCAAAAGATATCTAAAATAAGGTAATGAACATACCATTTATATTTTAAAAAAAATAAAAATATGGACTTTTGAGACAGAAAGAAAGCAGATTTTGGGTGGAGTAAAGTGTTTCTTTGGATTGCAAACTAGTTTAGAAAATTTTTGTGCTGCAAATACCACATTGCGAGTGTTCTCTCTTTGAACTTTTAATTTTAGCATTCTGTACAAATGTGTTCGCAATTTCTTATTTAAAAGCACAGAAACATTACTTGAGAAATAAATTGAACAGAAATAGAATTACAGCTTTAAAAAATCAGATTCTTCATCTGTTTTGTAATTTTCTAGTTTTGTGTGTTTATGCGTGCAGTTTGATTATAGTCAAATGTGCCATATTCATGGACATTTAAGGCAACAGACGTTTTAATAAGAAAAAGAATAGTCAGTTGTAAATGTTCCAAAATGATACTTTAAAAACACAAAAACATTCCATCACTGGACACACTTTGTAGTTTCTGACATGGCACTGCTCCAAAAAGATGGTTAAGAAAATGAAAGGCATATTTGAAGCCCTGCTGAATATTCCTGTCCTGCATTGTGGCACGTTAACTCAGAAGCTGCAATCACGGCTCTCATGAGAGCAAGTATTATGTGGAGTAGCTTTGCCATTTTTGCTGGTTGAAATTCTGCTACAGACTAGGCTTCTAACCTGTTTGTCCCAGCATACCTCTGAGAGCACTATTGTGCTTTTAAAACATATAGTAAATAAAATGTGAAGCAGCATAATCAGGCATATGTAATTGGTTCAGCTCAGGTTGTACAGATTGTGGTTAAGAGCTTGAAGGTCCTAGTAAAGATATTTCTGTAGAAAAGTGGAACTACTTTTAAGTGGTATTTTAAGTTTAGCAGGTTTAATGAAAACTGGAGGTCTTTCTCTAAAACATGTGGCAAGTGTCCTTGTCCTGATGAGACCCAGCAGAGGACCTGAAGCTCCCTCAGTGCTCAGGGGTCTGATGGGTTTGATGTTACAAATTGATGTTACATGACTGATGGGTTTGATGTTACTAATTACTCACCACTCTGATGGAGCAGAGTGCATAGGGTCCTGTTCCAGCTTTGAGGGCAATATTCATATTCTTTAAATGCAAGCACATAACCTGGGTCATTGGTCTGTAAGCATTCAGTACTTTGCAGGATCAAGCTCATTTCCATGGGATCCTATTGGGAGATCTAGTCAGCATTCAGTGCCTTGTCTAAGGTTTAGTTCTTGGACTGTGCTGTTAATGAAACGCTTTTAATTAGATTCTGCTAGTAAGGTGCAATTGTGATAAGCTTGGCCATTTCTTTATCTGGTGAAAAGCAGTGTGGCTCCTGCTCTTGTTCTCATTTTCAGGCTGCTATAAGCCTTTGCTAGTTCTCATGGTGGTCTCATAAAGGGAATGAAGCTTCTGGTTCTTGTTGGCTTCAATTCTAGACTTAGTAAATATAAAGCATTTAATTTGGCTAGAAAATAGTGAGTGTCAGGAAAAACAAAGTGGGAAGTGACTGCTCACTGCTTCCTCCAGCAGCAGAGCAGGGGGATGAAGCAAAGTTGTGAGATGTTGACCTGAAACCAGTAAAAAGCAGACTGTACTGCTTGCCATGGATAGGGAGCACTTGGGGGTTGATGTTCACAGCGGTTGCTGTAGGTGCTAAAAGCTCACAGGGCAGTGTGGCAGTTATGCAGAAGAAAAATGTACCAGTTGCTGCTGAATTTGCCACACACTCTTTAATCACCTGTGGCTCTTGGAGAAGTTTTAGGGTGTGCTTT